GTGGTTCACATAATCTTGCTTATTATATATATTATATAGGTTAACAAACAGACAAATACTACCATTAAGGGCAACATGTTGCATAGTGCAGCTTGCAGGCATGCCGTGCTAGCAGACTGGAGGTGTTAATGTGTGCATTGGACCCACAAACAAAATGAATATATGATGAAGCRTTTTACAGCGCCGAGCTGATTTTTGCTGTGTGCAAAATATATTATGTGCATGGCCACTGAGGCTCGGGACGCTTGGGGCTCTGTCAGTGTAAGTGCCTTCAGTCAGCACAAGTGTGATCCCAGGGTTCTGCTCTTCACAGTCATACTTATCGAGTAAAAGCTYAGCCAGAGGCAGCATAAGGAGTGAAAGACAGAAAGAAGCACAAAGTAAACAGCAAATGTTCTGAAAACAAGGAAATGCCAATCTGTCTCTGAGGAATTTTTTTTCTATCAGATTGTCACAGACTGAAGCTTTTTTTGCATAAAGCTTTACCATACCAAAGGGATAATCCAATATTATGTCACAGCTGCAGGTAAAATAATCCCCTTTACTGATGCTTAAACAAAAAATCCTAGACATTGCAAAGCAATGCAAAGGTATTTTTATATTACTGTCAACAAATACAAGAAACTTGTATTTGCAATAAATGAAAATAGAGGGAGGGATACTGTGTTTGCTCCAACCCTTCCCGCTATCCATCTTCTGTCCTTTAAATCTCCCCAGCTGCTGTTGGATCTGATGGTGACATAACTGTGAGGACCAAGCAGGTCTGTGCTGGACCAGGTCACGCACTGAGCCATAAAGCATCACGAGCCATTGACCGGTGCTCCCAAGGGGCAGATAGCAGTCAGAACATGGAGTGATAATGCTCCAATGTTGCTGATGGTAGACAGTCCAAATGGGCCCATTATGCTGCCTCCATTATGTGACACGGTCCGCATCCTGCTGTAACTGCTGGATTCTTCACTCATCACCAGAGTTTTCAACACACTTGAGTTCGAACACATCGCTGAGTGTCTTATTTAGTCTGAAAAACTGTGAGGACGCTTTCACTTCTACCAAACCACCATCGCTCCATTGACCGTGTGCTGCTCCGCCCACTTTTCTTCTTCTGGTTTTCACGCATTTGTGGTAAATGCTCTTCAAACATCACTGATAGACGTACAAAATCACAACAATCTGATTTCTCAAATGTTCAAAAGTCAGTCTGCAGCAATCAGCTGGTATTAAGGTTAGGGTGGCCCAAACCGAGTACAAATACTTCAGTTTGGGTAGTCACCTAAACATTACACAATGACTTTAAAGGTGGTTCTCCTTTTTTCTGGGCCTACCACCCTTCTGACTGGATCAGATCAAATATACAGCATGAAATACAGTATACTGGTGAAACATTTTAAAATAAATTGAAATAACAAACACGTATAAATCCCTTAAACATGGAATTGACAAACTTTTCACTTGAAAAGTAAACTGCAACACATTCAATGAAGTATCAATGAATGTATATCAGTATTGGTATACTGGTATAGGTTTCAAGAATCGGGGCATTTTGTACAAGTATGAGTACTTGTAAAAAAAATGCTCGTGTTGGGCCTGTAACCTCTTCGAAGGGAACCAGATCTGGACGAGCCATTTGTTTCATAATGCCGTTTAATTTTGAACGGGTTACGTTATCACCTCAGAAGAAACTTCATCCCGTAAGTCAGGACTATTCAACTGGCGGCCCGCGGGCCACATCCGCGAGGGACCAAAGTTCGGCCCGCCAATTGGTTCATTCATCTCTTAAGCCCAAACCCGCAGTTTTCTACTTTAATTACTCCAAGTTCTTTTAGTTAAACATTGACATGTTTGGTAKCTACAGAAARGTCAGAATCTTGGCTAGAAGCTGATGAAAACCATTTCTACAAACACTCAAGACAGTTAAAACTACAAGCAGTTGAAGATAAAATGATGAAAGTGAAATTTAAAAATTTGGCAAGTCAGAGATGTCAAAATATTAGTGTCAAATAAGAGGCATAATGGGTTCTTTTTGTTTTTGATAATGTTTGATTATCACTAATTTTATAGGGTTCTGTATGTTGTGTCCATGATTAAATGCAGCAAAATAAACTAATTCAAAGGTAACAGATCTTTGTAATACTTGGTTTATTTACATAATGACTTTAATTGCTGGATGTTAGGCCCCTCAGCTGCTCACCTGCAGTAACTGTGGCCCCTGGAGCAATTTAGTTGAATAGCCCTGCCATAAGCCTAATGTGATGAGGTCACCACATCACATGGGCAGAACCATGTGTTTTATCAAGTGGAACTCTCTGCCAATTTTCCCCRTTAGCTGCTGTTCTCCACCGCTTCTCCTGTTTTCTGTTACAAAGCGAAGGAAGAGCAATTGTCTTTGTGAACAAGAAGGAAAGAATAAAGATATTATGAGGAGTACAAAACAAAACTAAGAAAACTGATCACTGTTCGCAAATCGGTTCCTATCGTTCCTTGTAAAGAGCCGTTCAGAAGATTCTGATTGTTCACAAACGCCACATCTCTTGATCTCTTTGATTGTGTCTGAACTGTAGTTTTTTTTTTTTTTTTGCTACTTCATGAACAAAAAAGCTAATAGGTTCATACAAAAAAATTAAACTGAGGCTAACACTGCAAGAGCGCCTCACAATTTATGCAATACAGAAGGTTGGTTTAAGCAAATAATAAGGTTAATACAATGTCTTGTTTTTTATCACTTCTTTTTGTCAGCTAGACCTTTCTATCTGCCTCCATTTAAACCACAGCTTCCAGAGCTTTCCTGTTTGTCTCTGAGCCAAAACGAAGCAAAGCCCTRTCCTTTGAGACATGCAGACTGTGGAAAGGTCAACTCCTGCACAGCCTAAACTCGTGCCTCYTGAGGAAAGGCAGTAAATAAAAGAGCCAGTTTGTTTCTCTGCAGTCTCAGACATCTCCACACTGATCCTCGGTCATCTTGATTGGATTATGAAGTGGTTTACGAAGCTTCAGTGAACAGATTACTCCTGCTTGCACATTGCGCTTTACTTTTCTTGCTGGCTGGACTTATTTACATGTGGGTATCCATCACCCAGAGCATTCTTGCTGATGGTTGTTGTTAGGTGAAGTAATGAATATACACATTTTTTAACCCCAAATTCATGTTGGTAAATTTTGCTGTGAAGCTGTTTTTCAGAGCTGTCCTGCTTCACATGCAGAATATTTTGCAGGAGTCTGAGYGCACGTCTGCAGCGCTGTGCTGTCGATTCCTCGGCACTTCTGCTTGAATAGAAAGAAATGTGTTGTGTTGTTCAAGGACATATTCTTTATATTTGCTGGATTTTGAGAAACTTTATTTTCCTCACCTCTGGCCATGGATTTGAAACAAGTCTTAGGATTTTTGCATGCCGTTTCAAAGCTGGTTGTTGTAATCATGAAACCACTTTYTTTGGGCTTTGCGAGGAAATGCACCATGAAACAACATAAGCAATTTAACCGTGCCTTTTATATTATGCAGAAATTGAGAAAAAAAAGTCCTATGGTACAGGCCCTCGTCAATGAGCACTGTTCCTTTATTTCATTACTGGATTAAATGTTTTGATTCATTATGTAATTATCTCATTAGACTCCTCAGCAGGCTCATCCATGTTATGTGAAAATTGTGGTTTAATTTTGTTCCCATAAAGTTTATTACACCATAATACTTGTCATTGCGATCATAATCTTACAAGAAACATTTTTTACACTGAACACTGTGGATGAGCAGGTGAAAATATCTTTTTYTGTGTGCTCTTCTGAGAATAAGAATAAAAAAAATGAAGCATTGTGATGGAAAGTTATTATTATTATTATTTATCYTTATTTATCCAGGCAAATCCCATTGAGATCGCAGATCTCTTTTTCAAGGGAGGCCTGAAGGCAACCTATTGTACGTGTTTTTGGGATGTGAGAGAAACTGGAGTACCCGGAGGAAACCCATGCAAGCAGAAGGAGAACATACAAACTCTGTACAGAAAGACCCCAGGTCCGAAAAGTACTGTCACCTCACAGTTAAAACAGTTGGACTGTTTTGTGGAGCTGTAGTTGGTATTACCATTTTGTTTGTTTATACACGGGGAATTTCTAGTTTAAGTTAGATGGGTTTTTATGTCTGTGTTCTCTGTTTCTGTTCTGCCACACCCACCTGCACCCGATCTCAGTTTGTCTGCACAGGTGTTGGGTATTTTGGGTTAATTATATTTTCTTTATTTTCTCTGTTGGTTTGTTGGTTCCTTAGTTTGGCATTGTGCATTTTTATGTCAGTTGTGGCTCAGTTTTTGCTTATGTCTGAACCCCACAAATTCAGCCTGTGAGCTATGCTGTCTCATCATGTAGAACCYAACAGACATGAACCAACTAGAGTGAAACTGGACTGTGAAGAAGGGTCTGGACAYGTTTAAGAACCCCTCTCCCATGCCTGTCCCCAATTCAAAAATGGAAGGTTTCCTGCCGGGTGCTCCTACGAAGCCCAGTAACTGATYACACTGTTGGACCTCCCATGCCACACTGGCTTGAACCATTTCTGTCAGCCTTTTTTTTTATCATTAAGTCATTTTCCTAATCTCTAAATCCTCTTGRACTCTGCAACCTTTGGTTAGATTTTAAAACAAACCTGACATGTTGTTTTACTGCTCTGGTTTTAGTTTGTTTCTTTGGTTTAAATGTATTTTCTGGGCTTTTGCTTTTGGAACACAATGGATGTGCTGCAGTCATCTTATTGTTATTTTGTTAATAGGAAATCAAAAAAATGTCTTGTAGCAAAAGTTAAACGACACAATTGGTTTTATTTTTGCTGCCTCTGGAGGTTCTTCAGCTGTCTTATTGTAAAACAGGTTGCTCAGCATTACTGAAAAATGTCTCTATTTCATTTTCACAAAGTCGTCATTTTAAATGATATTACAGTAAAAAGCAGAGCTAATTTTTATGAGGTCCCTTTATTCTGATTGATGACACTCTTTCACGTTTCTGTTTTACTTCAGGTGAGGAGCGGTCATGCCGTTTGGCTGTTTAACAATTGGAGAAAAGAAGGATTACCACAGTCCTTCAGATGTGACAGAGAAATATGACCTGGGTCCGATTGTGAAATCGTGAGTATCACAACAACCTATTCTAGAGCTTCTGTAAAGTCTCTATAAACCAGAATTTATGTGAGTAAAACTGAAGTGTCATGTATGCTTCTTTTCAGGGAGGAGTTCTGTGAGATTTTCAGGGCCAAGGACAAAACTACAATGAAAATGTACACATGTAAAAAATTCCTGAAAAACGATGGGAGAAAAGTGCGCAAGGCTGCCAAAAATGAGATCCTCATCCTAAAAATGTGAGTCATTTTGGTCAATGTTAGAGAGACCAATAGAACATTTTCTTTTCTTTTCCTGAAGTATGAATTTCCAACTAAGAAAAAAAAGGTTTCTTTGAGGGAAAAAAAAGCGACTTTACTTTTCTCGGAGTCTTAATTATCTGCAACAATTTTCCGTCCATGTCTTTGATGATCTGAATTTCAGTAAAACCCACATTAGCATAATCTTATCGAGCAATTGTTTACTGACAGCAAACAAAAGCAGTGAACCAAGCTGAAGATGTGATCCCTCTCCCAGAAGCCTTTCAGAACACAAACTCCTATTATTAAAAAAAAGTACTTCAGAGACTTTAATAACAGGAACACGACCTGCTCTCATTTTCAGTCTCTAATCATCAACACAGGTTTTGAAAATGTAAAGCAATGTTGACAGTATGCATGGCAAATCATTAAATGTTGATAGAACATCCATCTTTTTACTTCACAGTCATTGCAAGTAATGGTAGGGGAAAGGCTGTTATGTAGAACAAGTATATTTTATCGTTTCAATTTTTTATTTTGTTTAATTGAATCATAAATCTCAAAATTACAATTGATTTAATATACACTCACCAGCCACTTTATTAGGTACACCTGTCCAACTGCTCATTAACACAAATGTCAATTCAGCCAATCACGTGGCACTCAATGCATTTAGGCATGTAGACATGGCCAAAATGATCTGCTGCAGTTCAAACTGAGCACCAGAATGAGGAAGAAAGGTGATTTAAGTGACTTTGATTTAAGTGACATGGTTGTTGGTGCCAGGTGGGTTGGTCTGAGTATTTCACAAACTGCTGATCTACTGGGATTTTCACCCACAACCATCTCTAGGGTTTACAAAGTCCAGCAGTTCTGTGGGCACAAATGCTAGAGGTCAGAGGAGAATGGCCAGACTGGTTGGAGCTGATAGAATGACAAAAATAACTCAAATAACCACTCGTTACAACAGAGATATGCAGAAGAGCAGCTCTGAACACAGAACACGTCAAACCTCGAGGTGGATGGGCTTCAGCAGCAGAAGACCACACCGGGTGCCACTCCTTTCAGATAAGAACAGGAAACTGAGGCTACAGTTCACACAGACTCACCAAAACTGGACAAGAGAAGATTGGAAAACYTTGCCTGGTCTGATGAGTCTGGATTTCTGCTGCAACATTCGGATGGTAGGGTCAGAATTTGGTATCAACAACATGAAAGCATGGATCCATCCTGCCTTGTATCAATGGTTCAGGCTGGTGGTGTGGTGCAGTGGTGTGGGAGATATTTTCTTGGCACACTTCGGACCCATTAGTACCAAATGAGCATCGTGTCAATACCACAGCCTACCTGAGAATTGTTGCTGACCATGTCCATCCCTTTATGACTACAGTGTACCATCTTCTGATGCTACTTCCAGCAGGATAACACTCCATGTCATAAAGCGCGAATCATCTCAGACTGGTTTCTTGAACATGACAATGAGTTCTCTGAACTTGAATGGTCTCCACAGTCACCAGATCTCAATCAACTAGAGCACCTTTGGGATGTCGTGGAACAGGAGATTTGAATCATAGACATACAGCCGACAAATCTGCAGCAACTGTGTGATGCRYTCATGTCAATATGGACCAGACTCTCTGAAGAATGTTTCCAGTACCTTGTTGAATCTATGACACAAAAATTCAAAATTCATTCATTATACTATAGTTGTATAAACTATTGTATTTATAAAATTTGTTATTAAAATATATTAGATACTTATTTCTCATAAATCTCACAATGCAGTGCATCGTTCCTGGCTCATGATGTGCCACACATGTTAATTAGAGTTATGAAACATCACACCTGTCAGGGGTGATGCACAGCACAGCAGGACTGATACATAAATGTGTCAAATCACCATTTTCTTTACACTGAATAACTCAGTGGGATTTAGTGATTGAACAGGGCGGCTGAGGGGTGCAGTTTAACGCACAGCTGTGCTCTTTTTAGATATTGTTCCATAGTCATAAAAGCTACAGTTTTTTCATTTTTATTTATTTATTTATTTATTTATTTATTTACTTGTTTATTGGCTGAAAAAACACGAGACAAAAAAACCTTTCCCAGTCCCTTTTTTCAGCAGCAGACTGTGTGAATCTTCCCATTTACAGCAGAGCTGCAGATATTACAGTAAAAAAAAATGGTGCAGCAGTTTGATTTTGTTTTCTTCCAAGTTTCTCTCAAGGTTTTATGACTCTTGTATTGAATTATTCACACTAGTGTTTCTGTTGTCCCTCGGAGGAAAAAAAAGGTTTGGACGTCATCTCCTGTTTGATTCATGACACAAGTCTTTTTCTGTCTCATGTTTTCTGACACATCTTCCCCAGGGTGAGGCATCCCAATATCCTGCAACTGGTTGACGTCTATGAGACCAAAAAGGAGTACTTCCTCTTCCTTGAACTGTGAGTTTACAGTCGCCTGGTGAGCCGGAGGAGAAGGCTCTCTGCTTGTCTTTGCTGTGGCTAGAGCTTCTGTTGATTAAACACTCGTGGGGAATGATCTGGTTCTGCTCAAGGCCCATCAGATATGCGAACAGCTTTAAGCCCCCAAGTCATTTGGTTTTCAGATGTGATCTCTTGCTGGCTGCTCCATTCTTGTCAGCATGTGTTCTTTGGGACTTGGGTGCATTTCTGTAGAAAATCTAAATGTAGAAATGAACTTTTTTCTCTCTCTCTCTCTTGAGAACACTTGATTTGTGAGTTTTAGGATTCTGGTTAGATTGCAGTACATTTCAAAGCAGCGTCCATGGGGAAAATATAATAATCATCTGCATCATGAAGTTTTCTTCACTCCTGGAAAGACAAAAACAGCGTTTTATTTTAAGCTTCCAATGGTTTGTCATTTTGCTCATTTACAACCAGTGCTTTCTTTTGTTTTTAGATTTTTGTCTACATCATTTAGGACAATGTATTATAAAGTGCCAGCAGCAGAACCAAGGACCGTTTCGGTTTACTTTCTGTTTTATTGATTCCCCTGATTGTGTCTTCCCATTTAAAAAAAATTTATTTCCTATAAATAGTCTCATTTTTAAATTGCATTTCAAACGTGCAACAGAGCTGCAAASCTTTTATTTTCCTCCGTCCCACAGTGCAACTGGCAGAGAGGTGTTTGACTGGATTCTGGATCAAGGGTACTACTCAGAGCGAGACACCAGCAATGTGGTGCGTCAAGTACTGGAGGCAGTCGCCTATCTCCACTCGCTGCACATCGTTCACAGGAACCTCAAGGTAACATGCTGTAGTAAGCACAGAACCAATCACTTTCTTTTGGATGAAATCACACTAGTGAGCCCCTTAAGAAAATAGCGTACTCTCTGTCTTATTTTTACTGCACAAACAATTTTATCTCCATAGTATAATAATCCCAATGTTATACATTTTTATTGTCTTTGCCAAATGTTTTCACAAAGAGAAAGAAGCTTTTGCTTGAGGGTAAATGATTTTATGCACCTATGTTTTATAGGCTGAGTTTCCTAATAGAGAAGATCAGATCTCACATATCACAAACTGTGACCTCAGAGCAGTTAATCCAGTGTTTCAARGGACCACAGAGGTTAGGAGATCAAGGTCATTTAGGGCTATTAGGGTGATGTCAAACWCTGTAAAGAGGCAGGCAAAGGGCGAAAAAATTGTGTTTTAATCCTGTTGATGAGGCTGCGTTTGGAGGCAAATGAGGTGGGAAACAAATGGCTTACACCTGCATACAGTACAWTACTGCAATTGAAGGGAAAATAGAAAATGTGTATAAAACTTCTTTTAAACAGCTGAAACAAACAAACAAAAYAACTGTTTAGAAAGTCTAAAAAAACAGCACTGCGTGTTTTTGACTTGAGCATCAAAACTCAAGTTAAAATCAAGTATATGTTAAACTACAGGCTTTTAGCACACTGTAAAAATAACTTGTAAGATTTACTAGAGAAAATCCTATAAATGATTTGCACRAACGTTTGGTAAGTAAATTTAAAAGCTTCAAAATTCATGTAATATTTACTCTCATCATTATCTAGTAAAAATTATTAAGAATATAGTTAAAGATTTGTCAATAAATCAGATAAATTTTTCTTAATTTGCTCAATTAAATCTTGTAGCATATATTTGATCAAATTACGTAAAATTTACCTGATTTATTCACAAATCTTTAACTACATTCATAATAACTTTTACTAGATAATGATGAGTAAATGTTACTTGAATTTGTGACATTTAAATTTACTTAACAAAAGTAAGTGCAAATTGTTGTAAGGATTTTTTCTAGTAAATCTTACAAGTTTTTTATAACAGTGCACATGCGTCAAGCACAATTTTGTAGCCTGACACCTCACAGCTACAGAGAGAGGTGTAGCTCATGTTGTAGTTCAAGACTTCACCACCGGGTGGCGGTTTTGAAGGACCTATATTGGATTCTTCTTCATGAACAACTTAAATAACGTGAAACTCACAGGTCTTATTAATGACTAGGCCTACCACTCTCACTTATGGTTACTTCTGCTGGACGCTTTAACACAAATTAACAAATAATGAACACACAAACTAGAGTAACACAGACTAATTGCTGAAAGAACAATGTTAACCAATTACCTAAAATGATTTAACAACAAACATGAATCACACTCCTCCACTGCAGTCACATGACAAACAGCCAAACAGCAGAATGCTACAATATGCATTCCCTGTTCCCTGACAACTAAATATTACCTACGTTACACCATCAAACAATTGCACACCAACAAATGTATTCAAGCAAAAGAAACCAGACAACTTATGTTTTATTTCGACCATGTCTTGTCCTCTCCTTGAAAAGTGAAGCAAGGGAATGAGGAGCAGCAGCCTTTGTGTGCACATGCGCCCTCAGTTTTAGCCCAGAAGAGAAGTTACTTAATATATTCATGTTTATGTGCTCTCCAGAAAAAACACTTAAATATTACTGGTAAAATAATATTAGCATTTACTTTTTTGTACTGTAATATTGATACACAATATAATGCATATTGTTTATTTAGTAAATTCTAGTAGTTTAGATATTTTGATATTTTTTGTAAAATTTAAAAGAATAATTAAATAAATGTTACTACACCTAAAAATCCTCTTTTTCAGTGCAGGGTGATTTTACTGGATAGGCTGATGAGACAAAAAGCCAGCAGGACTGACCAAACAGAATGACTTCTGACAAATTTCATTCAATTTGATAAAATTATGTGTTCCTTAGTTGTGCCATCTACAAAACATTATAATGTACACTGTCGTTTTGAATGGGAGGGAGCATGTAAATGGAGAAAAGAAAGGGGGTGATGACACATCCCTGAGGTACAACATAACTTAACTGAATCCTTACAAACTATAACTGTTAAGGGTCTCATCTGTTGGAAACTCAAAACTGCAAACAAAAACTTTTTGTTTACAATTTTTTACAAATCATAATCTCACTGAATTCTGAAAGTTTGCGACCAGCCAACCAGTGAGCCGTGCAGTGAAGTTTTCCACACAAAATTGAAAATCCTGTCCTACTTTTATGAGAGTGGCATGCACAATTTTGTATTTTAGGCTGTGCACATTATTTTACTGCCCACGTTTTCCCACATTGTACCCCCCTCAGACCACTTTGTACTCACCTTGTCATTACATAATGTGTGTGTTAATGTTCCAATGTCATTTTCCATAGTTAGAGAATTTGGTGTACTACAACCGCCTGAAGCACTCCAAAATAGTCATCAGTGACTTCCACCTTGCCAAGTTGGAGAATGGATTAATCAAAGACCCCTGTGGGACCCCAGAATACTTGGGTGAGAATAAAAAAAGTGTCAATATTATGTCAAATGGCAACATTTTTCAGTTTGTTGGTGAAGTTTGTTTTTCCTTGTGGAGCTCCTGAGGTGGTTGGCAGACAGCGGTATGGCAGACCAGTGGACTGCTGGGCAACAGGTGTCATTATGTACATACTGTAAGTCAGAAATATGATGGAAGAAGTTTCAAAAACTCAGTCTGAAGTTAAATCTCTGAAAATGCTGATATAGTCACTGTATGTTCAAATTATTTTCTTTGGCCTTTTTTTTAAATACAGCCTGTCAGGCAACCCTCCTTTCTACGATGAAACGGATGATGATGATTATGAAAACCATGACAAGAACCTGTTCCGAAAGATTCTCGCAGGCGATTATGAGTTTGACTCGCCGTACTGGGATGAGATCTCTGATTCAGGTGCTTGTACATCAAAGTTACTGATGAGAAGAAAAAGACCGGAAATATTTCAAATCTGGAAGAACTTTTCTCTTCTTTTTTTCCTTTGAGTTTTCAAACCGGTCATATTTATGTTGTCATCCATCAGGGGAGTAAAGCCTTTCTTGCTGAGTTTCCTCTCTCTGATTTTCCTCTGACAGCTAAGAATCTGGTGGCTCGTTTGATGGAGGTGGATCAAGACCAGAGACTGACAGCCCAGGAGGCTATAAACCATGAATGGTAGGGAGCAGTGCTTTGATTTYCTGTGCAGACTTTATATAAATTAGAGCACTGTGATCAGCCTGTGTTAACATGAACAGAAGAGCAGACGTTTTGATGTTTAAAACATTTTAAAAAACAAAAGTTCTGTCTTGTCTTCAAATTTCATTGACTGATGATATTTTAATTGTGACTAGAATCTGGACAGATGTTTTTTTTTCTTTAGCTCTTCAGCGTATTTTATTTTTACATCATTAGGACTTTTTTCTGATTTCTGCTGAAATGTCCTGACAAGTTAGATGTCTTCTTGCATTAAAGTTGAAAGCAGTCATCGGGCTTTGCTTAGTCAGCGGAGGGATTTCCAAAGAACAGCTTTGAACATGAATTCTTTGTCTCCATTACACAAACAAAAAGGGCCATGCTAAAAGAATGGTAAAATGGTAAAAAATACGGAGAAAAAAAATGAAAGGCAAATCTGATGTCGTTCTTGGGTTTTTCACCAGTCTAGACTTCAGTGACAAAGAGAAAGCCACTGCTGAAGAAAATCTTAATGAATCTCAACTAGGCACAACTGCAGAGAAACACTWGATCATGGAGTCTCCCACATGTTGTTTGCCAAACTGTAGTCAAGATTTAACATGAGCTTTCTTCAAAAGTTGCTATCCTAAAGAAGAGAAGAGACTAGTTCAGTGTCTCTCATTTCACCTGCTGAAGTGTATAACTCCTTCAGTGTCAGGTGTCTCGGTGGTCTCTCTCTATCTCTCTGCTTTTCTCAAAGCAGACAATAAACCCAGATGAGCTGTGGTCATTCCATATGTTGCAGGAGTTTCAGTGAAACTGAGACGATAATTTTCTAAACCTGACGCCCCAGTGGCTTTCAAACCAAAGATCCAGTCCCCTGGCACAAACAGAGTAATGTTGTGTATGCTGTTAAGTGCCAGGAGGACTGCTTTGTTTCCCTGATATAGAACTGATCACAGTTATACTTCATGGAAACAAAACAGCCACTGTTCAAAAGAGTGACCCAGCACAGAAGAGCAACATCATCAGGAAATGACTGTGCAGTTTACACTCATTTACAAGCCAGCGGTCAGTCTTTCAGGGATGAAGATGTTCTCATCCTTGATAGAGAAAGTTGGTTTGAGAGATGGGGTACCCTGGATTTACACTAAATGTGTCTCCGCTCCGCTGTGCTGCTGTGCGCGTTTGCAGCCGTTCATTTGCACCCCAATTTATACAGCGTCCACTCCGCTCAGCTCTGCTCTGGTGTGATACACAGAGGAGGAAGTGTGTGCAGGAAGGAAATAAATCCAGTGATAAATGTCCACGTTTATCATGTTTACCACGTTTTATGACTTCCAAGTCAGAGCAAAAAAAATGTCTGTGAAAGATGAACTCCAAACAGCTGAAAACATAGATATAAAAGCTTTTGATATCAATGGTTAAATCTGTCTCGCTGTCTACTTTTTGAAACTTCTGATTTCAAAATAAAATCCACGTGCATCATGTGTGTACACATWTGCMTCATGCTACATGTTGTCATCTGCTTCCCAAACAGAACGATACATTCTGACAGCATTTGTGTAGAAATACAGTATATCCATACATTGATTAATGTAGCTGYGATTTTGACAAAATTAGTCCACCTTGTGGTGTCTTATTTTGAAAATATGGAAGTTGTGCTTGTTTATTTTCCTGTTGGTGCGACGAGATCTTTGTAAATTGACTCCAGAGCAGCTCTGGCGTCCGGCAAAAATAAGATCAGATCTAATTTTGGCGGATTGCCYTCCGCTCACCGCTGCCCTGTGCCGCTGTGTGGACCCAGTGTAAATACTCTTTGATWATAATGGCTGCATATTTGCTGCGGTGGTTGGACCGCAGCGCAGCGGAGCAGGGCCGCATCTAGTGTAAATTAGGGGTAAAGGAAGTCTTTTTTGTGAAGAGAAACTGCCCACTGTTAAACGAGGGGGAGGCCTCCATGTCCAATTGTTCCCCTTTTACAATGCTGTTATTGTGAGTTAGACTCAGCCCTTTGTGAACAATAAGTGGCAATCAGGGCCCTAATGATCGGTCATTGGTTTTGGGTGTAACCGGTAAACTTGCTGATTCACTATGTGAAGTACTGCGCTTACCTGCAACTCCTCAGACTGGAGCTGTCTCTTGGAGAAGAAATAAAACATTTCATCGAAGAAGAACCCATCCAGAGGACCTTCTTAACTATTTTTGTATGATTTTAACATTAAAGATTGAACACTGGATTTTTTTGTAAACAAGGCCAATTTATATTAGTTATGATTAGTGTTGGACAGCAATGAAATGATTAAACAGCAACGGGGTGAAAAACTTTAATAGACAGTGAATAATAGTTTCACTCTGTTTTTTGGTAAATGATAATGATGATGATAATGATTGTTCACACCTCTTACGCAGTACATTGGTTCCAAATGGCCAAAGTATTCCTTTAAAGGTGTGCTTTCTACTTTTCCTTTTTTTATTTTTACACCACAGGATCTCAGGTGGTGCAGCTTCAGATAAGAACATCAAAGAAAACGTGTGTGCACAAATAGAGAAGAACTTTGCCCGAGCTAAATGGAAGGTTTGCCTTTTTATTCTCTTTCCTGGAGTTTGTTCTTTTTTACTTTAGRTGTAAGCTGATGTGTCCTCAAACACGTTAAATGTTGTAGAACTTTCCGTTAAGGAAATGGGTGTCAAATAATTAAGAACTTTYGCCTTTTAGCTGCTTTTCACTGTTGTTCTACCTCAGAAAGCTGTGCGAGTCACCACCATCATGAAGAGACTAAGAGCACCCGAACATTGCGAGTCCAGGTCCGCCGGCCCCACAACGAGCCCCTCAGCAGACCCCACAGCTCCACAGGCTGCAAATGACCCTCCCGCAACGTCATCAGCCGCTCCTCTCCAGGCTCCCCCCGTAACAGAGCTGTCAGCTGCAGGAGAGGTGAGTCGCCCAGTGCCCTTAGCCGAACCCACAGCCGAGGGGCCTCAGCAGCCGAATCCGGATGGGCAGGGAGCCGAGCCCACGTCGCGCTACAACGGGGAAGCACCGGCCGCGTTCCACACAYCTGCGGAGGCGACGAACGAGCAGGGTTAAAGCCCCGCTCAGCTCTGCCGCTCCTGTGTGAGCGGCTCCTGCACACTGTACATTAGCTGCTGGCYTGGTGACACTGACTCTGCTTCTTTCTCACTTGCAGCATTAGTATCGTCTCATGAAGGCTGTGTGCTACCTTTTTCTAAGCATTGCACTGCATTTGCTTTTTGTTCTTTTTGAATATTCCACTGATCTGATCCTGTAATTATTTAAAAAATATATCAAGTCTCACTTAAAAAGCCTGAGCTTTAGGGGCAAAATAAATTTGCTGTCAAACCTTTGGATTCCAGCTCAAGTCATGTCTGTCTCCTCACTTTGTGATAAGAGGGGAAAGAATGAGAGAACTTTGCTAAAAAATATGCTTTGATTACATCAGAATAAAACATCTTTGGGGAGTTTTAATTAGAAAAGTTTTGCTTAACTATGTTAGGGTTACTGTTGCTTTCACATGAGAGGAAGCTTCACTGTTTATCCCTGTCTGCACTAAAGGTTATTGTGTATGAAACAATGCCGGGACTGATGACTGAGATTTTCTTTAAATTTTCAGCCCAGTTCYGTATTGTTGATTGAGGCAGCTTCACARTCAAACACACACAAACACGATGTTCCTTTGCTAAMATGCTCAGAAAGGGTTTTCCTAGCTGGAAGTGTGACGCTTCTGTACATAAAGACGTTTGTAGAAGTAGCTGAAACAGCATGCATTCTCACTTTTTGCTGTACGTTTTACACGCGCTCGGACTAATCGGATAAAGATGCGTCGCCGCCAGCTTTGTCTTATCGTCGGCCACAGCTCTCCCGCCTCTCGTGCAAGCCTTGTTAGTTCAAATGTTCTTAAAGCATACATTACCACTGTTCGTTTAAAGTCCCTACTTTTAATGTGCATTACATGATGACAGTTTTCATTTCATAGCAGTTCTATGCATCCAGTTTTAATTTGTAGCCTTTTTTTCTTTATGAAAAATCACAACACCTCCATCCTGCTTTCAAKGGATTTTTGTTCTGACTGTATTTACTTTGGTTTGATCCTGATGTTTGGTCTCTGCTGCCACTCATGTCTTCATGTTTGGCTGAAACAGTAAAAAAAAGGCATGCTTTAACCAACCATGTCCAGAATRAGAGGGAAGACGAGCACAATTTGGGCTTGGTGGTATGTACAGTTTTTACAACTGATGGGGTTTTCCAGCCATTTTAAAGTGTTTTTTTTGGGTAAATGTTATGGAAACAATGACCTATTGTTGTARAGCTTCTTGAACGTTCTCACTTTACAGAAAAAGTTTATATCCAATGGGACTGATGAGCTAAAAATAAATAGCATTTCAAAAATTTCAGAGTGGTTCCTGTAAAAACTGTTTCACAGYATTTTAGACTGCTGTGAGTTCATAATTACACAGCATTATGGTTGACCTCAAAGAGCCAAATGTAATTTGTAACTACGACATTTCATGTTTAACTTCACCTAAACATGAAACATCAGGTTCCTTGTCTCATTGAAGGGTTGAGCGCCACTAACAATAACTAAGCTCTTTGTGGTATTTCATGCARAAKAACAGCATTTTCAACATGTCTTAAAAACACTGAAAAGTARTATGTATACGACTGACTAATGTMAAATAAMTAATACCGAAATAKTAKTAKTAYTAAAAGRAAGAGATTTTTACTCATTGGTGAAAAGCRGCCATCTTGYATTCTGAAGTCCGCCTTCCTACAGYAAATTCCRACTGGAGGCACGTTCCATTTTAAATTGGAGGTGTACAGAYTTCAAAKGTAGCCAGTGTAACATCAGTAGCTGTWGCATCATTTTGTGGGTAAAATAATCAACATGCATTAGCAATAAAAAAAAACACTGTGAAGCAAGTTCTGTCCCTTCTTACAACCTAGTCATGCTCACATCTAAAGTGAGACACTTACAGTTGTCAACACCAACAACAAAAAGTACCTGTAACCAAAATCTTACTATACAACAAATATCTTCATAATTATGCACACATACACATAATGTATACATTACACCAAAAGTTTCACATTATACTGCCTGTAATATCTAATAATGCATAATAATACAGTATAATAATGTAATATTGGAGAGTCATTCTAWCATACACTTATCTACCAATAATTGTTTATATCTACTTTTAATTTGTTTAAACTTATAGCTCACTTTCAATCCTGAATCTACATTATTCCAGTGTTTAACCACATGGTTGTTTTAAATTTAATTTCCCCCATGACATGACCCCCTTTAAAGCAGTATATACCTACTGTATATCAAGATATTAATAAATCTTTAAAGCTCTTGCGGGCCCCATAAAATGRTGTGGTGMGCCACATTTGGCCCACAGGCCTTGAGTTTGACATGTGTTGTTGAGAGAAATAGTAGAGTGGTGTACAAATGGATAAATGAGGGCACTYCTTGGATATATAGGCAGTGTCCATTTAAATAGGCTAAATTTGCTTTGGAGCTGGGCCCACATGGACTGATGGATGAACTAATATTGATTTATCACCACTCCCAAAGCACGTTGTGCTGCAGCTTGTTGGCTGGCAAATAACCTTTATTTATACATAGTTTGAAGACTGTATACATTCTATATAAATATTCATGTAATGGTAAATGACTGGTAAAGCCTTTGAAATAACAATTATATTAACCGATTAAACTTTTCGAAGTCATAATTGTTTCAAAACAACAGTAATCCATTTTGTTGTTGGCTGCTTTTGAACCTGGCTCATCAGGTCTGTCAGATACTTTTTCAAACTGAGGTTGCACAATAAGCTTTTTGCAGCAGCTTTTGTTGTATTTCTGCAYCACATATTAATTGTTCCAATGTTTTCCACAAAAACCCACATTTGAAATGGCCAGAATATCCATTTAAAAGTTATCAGGCATGTAAAGCTACAGCATAAATGCACGATTGACATTCAATCTAATTTATTTCTTATAATTTCTTTCTTTCAGTGTYTTGTGTTATCTCTTTAGCTTTTTCAGTTGGTTTTCAGCGAGTGATGAGCAGTTGAAACAGCTTGTCCTTTCCCGTCACTGTACATGTCGAGGATTAATAAAGTGCTACAGGTGGAGGTCTCTGTAATAACACATCYAAATTGAGCAATATTTGACAGGCTGCAGAAACTGTGATTCCTGGTGTCCTTTCCGATGCAGTCCACATAAACTTCATTAGAACTCTGTGGTTTTTGCCTTCTGTTAGGCCCATCGGGGCTGCTGACACACACAGCCACCAACATACGGTCCAATAAATGTGTGTCCCTGCGTGTGTGTGTGTGTGTGTGTGTAGGTGGCTGTGTGTGGGTGCCTATTCTGACACACACGAAACCTTAAATTTGCTTCTCTGGCCACATAAAGACAGCAGCCCAGACTTTCTTAATGCGACTGGAAATTAAACAGCCACTTTCACTGAACTGATCCGATTGGCTGTCAGGAATGTTTACTGTAAACAGCTGTGAATAAAAACAATAATGTGCATTTAAAGCTTTACAAGTTTGGTTTTGAACTTTCATTTTTCTCTCATACTCGTTTCAAATTCGAACATAAATAAACGGTTCAATCAGAGATTTATGCGAGCATTATTTCATATATTTGTCTTTGTTTAGATGGTGAACTATCCGTGTTACATTTGAAATGATGCATTATTCCCAGTATATTTCTCACTGTATTTATGAGCTCATATCTGTTCATTTTGCCCACACACTCCCAGATGTATTTGTTGATGTGATGTTTGCTCAGACCAGCGCTCACCTGCGGGTCCAGTCCTGCATTTGTAAGCTCTTTAATGTACTCCCCTGACTGAGTCGATGACTTTAATGTTAATAAAATGGAACTCATCTGTTTACACTTGTGTCATCTGCTCTTATTTTGTCTTCCTCGGAAACATTCGGTAGGACAGAGGGTGTTTTTCAAACCCGTGCAGATTATTTTGAGAGAATGTGGGAAACAGCCTGCGTCATCGCACCCCCCCCCCTCCCCGCACCCCCCACAACCCAGAGCAGAGCATCTGTGTTACACTTGCTCAATTAGCACGAGCTTAGCAGCCGTCCTTGTGAGGTGTGAAGTTGTGTTTCGAGAAGTCCCAGCAGTGCCATTTGGTGACACTTTCCAGGATGCCCGAATTGCATCACATTGGAATAATAACGTTGAGAGAGCTTACCGTCGAGACCCTCCAGGGCTTCAAGGGGCCTCCTCTTGGGAGCTTTTCCATGTTTCAAGGCCGTTGTGCAACGATGTGTTGCCATCTTTACAGCAGTCCTTGCTCAGGGCAACCTAAGCCTGTCCTTGTGCCATTAGACGGCTTTATTAAAAGTGTTTAGATGAGAAAAGGGTCAGTTTTCTGTTTCAACCAGCAGCATAGAGATGAAAGACCACCAATCAGACTATCCTTGCCGAGAGGAAAAGCAAGCGTTACAGGAAATAAAAAAATCTTTTGCACTGTGAGCTCAGCAGACATTAACAAGGCTGAACCAGAAACAGCTTGAAGTTTAGCTGAAAACAAAACTACTTACATGTTGTGTTCACCTGTGTTTCCTTTACAACTATTTGATCGTTGCTCTTCTGTTTCTATCACAATCTTTTAGGAATCTCAACTCTTTCCTGACCTGTCCAGGGTGTACCCCACCTCTCACCCTACGCCTGCTGGAACCTGACCTTTAAACAGTTACTGTGCTCAAAAGCAGTCATTGAGGATGCATTGTGGTCCAGATATACTGCTTACTTCTGGTTTGAAATACATTTTGGTGCAGCGTCTGCAGTGATGCGGGCGCTGTGCAGGTCTGTCGTGGTGAAGTGAGAGCTGAGCCAGAAGGTGAAGCTCTCGATTTWCCAGTCGGTCTATGGTGCTACCCTCATCTATGGTCACGAGCTTTGGGTAGTGACCGAAAGAACAAGATCACGGATACAAGCGACCAAAATGGCTAGGCAGCCGGCACTGCAGAGATGCGCGGTGCAGCGGCTCAAACTGTCATTCCTCTGTGGAGCGCCCCAAGCAGGGGTGGCCAGGAGGGGCAATGTCCCCCACCCCAACCCCTAAAAAAATGCTGGTCCTACCAGTTTTATCCTCTTGAGTCTCAAACTTTTGTTTTGTGCTCATTTTAATTTTTCCTAGCTATTAGCTTTATTGGAAACCGTTAAAATTTTTTTGAAAAAAGTTAAACATTCATCCATACATTATTTTTAACTGCTTTTTTTCAGGGTCATGGGGGTCCATGGTGCCCATATCCAATAGTCACTGTGTAAGAGGCAGGGAGTTAAAAATATAAATATTTATTTTACTTTAAATGAAAAAGGAAACCTAGAATCCAGTCCCCCGTGAATAAAGACAACCAGTCAAAAACACATAGCCCTAATATCAGGATGCAGGTTCATGAGAGGTTAGGGAATAAATATAGAAATAATTATTTATATAATTCTTTACATAAACACTGCTTGCACTGGGACAGTCAGTGATGTTCTTTTGCCATAGTACTGGTAAAACTTAAAACTTTAAAAAATCCATGTCATTTAACATAATTGAAGATTCCTCTATTCATCGATTATTCTGCCCAAATTAATAATATATACAAAAAACAACCCTAACCCTTACTTTACACAAAAATTACTTACAGTCATGTTGGCAATCTTTCTATTAAGTTTTATAATCATGTAAAAAGGGTTAGAGCTATTTTTTCAACATACATTTTTTGAAATGTTTAAACAATGTCCTGAACTTTCCAGGATTAAAGGACTAATGTTTCAGCAAGATCTAGAGAAACTCATCGATGTGTTTATCTTTAGTCACATTGATTCCTGCAACATTGTCTTCACAGATCTGCATTAAACATCCATCAGACTGCTGCAGCTGATCCAGAACACTGCTGCTGCTCATGTTTTGACTAAAACCAGGAAGATAGAGCACATCAGCCCACTTCTAAAGTCCTTACACTGGCTCCCTGTAACTCAGAGAATAGACTTTAAAATACTGTTATTAGTTTTATAAATCACCTAACGGCTTAGCACCACAACACATTTAATATCTGCTGCTGTTTAAACCTTCCAAACCTCTCAGGTCTTCTGGTTCTGGTTTGCTCTGCATCCCCAGAACCAGAACCAAATATGGAGAAGCAGCATTCAGCTTTTAGGCACCGCAAATCTGGAACAAATTCCCAGAAAACTGCAAAACAGCCAAAACTCTATCCTTTAAATCAAGACTGAAAATCCACCTGTTTAGAGTTGCTTATGAGACATTATGAATGAAACATTAATAAAAATGTTGATGTGTAACAATGACACCTGACAAACTGTAATGCTTCAATTGTTAACTGTGTGTAACTTTGTAGTTTTCTGTTTTTATGTAAAGCACTTTGAACTGCCTTGTTGCTGAAATGTGCTATACAAACAAACTTGACTGATTAAGTTTTTATTTTTAAATATGGTAAATCTTTATTACACTTGCTGTTTTTTTCATACAATTGTGGAAAATAGGCTGATGAATTCCATTTAGAGAATGTGTATCTATGTAATCTGCATTTAGTTTCTTTATTATTAGTTTATTTCTACTACAGTTATTAGTTTAATAGCAAGAAGCAGTTTTGCTTGGTTAATTCCATTAGGTTTAGCATTTTGTGGTGTAACAAAACAAAAAATCAATATCCTGAAATATTTGTTAAACTCTAAACATTCAGCTTCGGTCTTGGTCTTGGTCTTGAAAGGTCTGGTCTTGATCTTGGTCTTGGTCTTGAAGGGTCCGGTCTTGGTCATGGTCCCGGAACAGCCGGTCTTGACTGCACCTCTGATTAAAACACAGAAATACAAATATTTTCATATTTTTGTTCATTCCAGTAATGCAGTAACAGAAAATAAAGACAGCCAACACAAAAGGATGAACCACCCTTAATAATATTTTGCTTATTGTTCTGTAGTTTTCCTAACAAAATTTCAATTTACCACTGCTGAAAGTTTGGAACAACCCAAGGACAAATATCTCAGAATGTGCATCTCAGTCAGAAATGAGTTTAGGTATCAATGCAGTATACATAAGCAAAATTTGGTGAAAACTTTGAAAAGTTTCCAGATACTCAGCAATGGAAATTTGGAGATACAGGATATAAAAAACAGCCCCCATACAGTAGAAGTAATGAAAGTTTAAACGAGTTATGGGATGTTATGGGGGACCCCACTCTGTTAGGATGGGTGAGAACACCTCTAGCTTCATCACATTGGAGCCCCTCAGGGCTGTGTGCTCATCTACTGCTGTTTACTCTGCTGACTCATGACTGTGCAGCAGTCCACAGCTCCAARGACACAACACTTTACTACCACTACAAACCATTCCAGAAGAAACTGGAATTAATAAAATCAGGACTCACCAGTTGGGGCAAGGTAACCATAGACCTCCACTTCACAGAGTGTTAGAACTCTGTCTGAACCTGGATTTACAACAACTACATAACGCCCCTCCACTGCAGAAGAAAATTTTATAGTCCGAGACATACCAGCTGGGATTGAAGAAATTGTTGCAACCCTGAAATGAAAGAATGATTTTATTAAAGATATTCAAAGTAATAAACAAAAACAAAACGGGTATACTTGACAATGTGAATATCTGTTTTTATCACTGGTACAATTTGAATAATGTATCTGTTGTTCAAAGTGTGCCATTTCCAGGTGGGAATGTTTAGAAAATAAATTGATAAAATCCTAGCCTTTCTCTGATTTACTGACACCTTTCATGGCACAGTTTCAGACTGAGATCATCTTATGTTGAGAAAAATCAAACTCACAGTGGGTTTGCAATGCCATTGTCCACTAAAGATTCGCCAACGTGAATCTGTGCCCCGTTGATCCTCTCTTCACAACAGTCTCCTCTGTTGGTGATGACGATGTGGTCGATTATATAACGGTCTAGTAGATCCACTCTCCACCAGGGGTTGAGCATAGATACAGTGTGGGTGCAGGATCCATGCTTAAAGGTAGGATCTCTGTTTCCATCGATAGCATTGTAGGCAGCTGCAAAAACACTCCAGTCACCATAGTAGCGTTGAGACTGAGTTGCTTTGCCACGCAGAGCCACATTTTCTGGAAGGAGAAAATAAGATTATTGTTTGGTTGTTTTTATTAATTTTGTKATTTAAAAATAAAATATATGAGCTATTGTAATTTGATTTAAATATTTCTTCCATTATTCTGTCCCATCTACTGTTTTATTAAACAATTAACACAGTAAACARAAGCACTATGTTGATGCAGGAATATTATTCCCCAAAGTACCAATCGATTGGGTTTCAGTGCTTGTAGAGTCATGGTTCTTCATCTTTCAAACTGCAGTGTATTTAAAACAGCCATGGTAAGGATGTCCCTTTAGTGATCTGTCTCAAAGCCACCTTTTAAGTGGAAGGTTTGGCCCTTTTAMTCCACAGAGATATAAAATTCACATTTCATCCATCCATTCATTTTCTCCTAATAATTTCTGCTAATAACAAAAACTAAAATTGCAACTGTTTTYTTAATCAGCTGTAGTAATTGTGATTCACTGTAAAAGGTTTTTACTTTTCACAGAAGTACAAATATTTTTGCAGTTTACTTACGGTAAATGGGAACTGAGTATGCTGGCAAGAAGAGCAGCAAATGAAGTAACACTGTGTTTTTCATTTTTCTGCTTAAAATGGATAAAGCAAACAATTATTTTATTTATTTCAAAGTTAGACTGATTAAAGGAGAGAAATAAAAAAACTGCTTACCCAGACTCCTAAATTTTCCTGAACAAGGTCTGTACCTGGTTTTTTAATGCCACGATTATCCAATCACATTGCACTGTGCTGGCTACTCCTCTTGATTCAGAAATGTTGTTACAAGACCTGTTGGGAAATGTTACCAAYSTTTAATGCCCTCTTCAACATTACCTTTTGCAATCAACAATTATCCAGTCACACTGCACTGTGCTGTCTACTCCTCTTGATATACAGGTGCTGATAGAAATAGAATATCATGAAAAAGTTTATTTATACCAGTAATTCCATTCAAAAAGTGAAACTTGTATTTTGTATTCATACAACTAATGAAAATCTCCATTCAGAATCTCAAAAAAGTTGAACGTTGGTAAATGAACTGAACTTATATAGCACTTTATTGAGTCCCATGGTGACATCAAAGCACTTTACGCTTCAGACATTCACACTACACTATAGCCAAAGATGCCCCGGGGCACACTGACAGAAGTGGGGCTGCCATGCACTGGTAACACCGGACCCTCTGACCACCATCGGTAGGCAAGGCGGGTMAAGTATCCTGCCCAAGGACGATTGAGAAGAAACACAGAAACACATAGCTAAAAAGTGGGAAATCAATATCGGATGTTAATATCGGCCCACTTTAACATATCGGACTGATACCATTTTCTAAAAAAAGGACCAAAATTGGCCAATACTGATGTTAATGCCGATATTTCATGCATCCCTATAAAAATCTGTACTTRTAGAGGWTAAACAAATGTTCYTAATTCATTTCAATAAATTACAAGTTACAAAGCGGATTCCAAAAAGTTGGGACACTAAACAAATTGTGAATAAAAACTGAATGCAATGATGTGGAGGTGCCAACATCTAATATTTTATTCAGAATAGAATTATTATTTTTTGGCTCCATTTTAAAAGACCCCTGGCCCAGTGCAAACGTCTGAGCTTGTGGAGCTTGCTTAGAAATGGCTTCCTCTTTGCACTGTAGAGTTTCAGCTGGCAACGGCAGATGGCACGGTGGATTGTGTTCACTGACAATGCTTTCTGGAAGTGTTCCTGAGCCCATTCTGRTATTTCCTTGACAGTGGCAATCCTGTTTGAGGTGCAGTGACYTGGCTCAGAGATCARGAGCATCCAGTAGAGAAKYAAAGACAGCTAACAAGCAAARAAAAACTTATTATTTTCACCTGGAGTGGGAAGAGGACTCATSTAATTGGAGCGCTGCCTTGGCTTGTCAAAAAAGGATAACATGGAACAGCATTTCTTTCAAAAGAATGCACAGACACTACGAGGCGGATTTCCCCTCCTAAGGTAAGGCTGTTATGCTAATGCAGCCCCGTACCTGCCTCAACACACGTCTTTCAGCGATGACGAAGTTATGAAAGAAGCATTTGATGCTGCAAACYTGCTTTTCCGTGATTTTAAAAATAAAAGTGAGATTGTGGCTGCTATAAAGACGTGCAGTTGTCTACCAGGATGGATGGATGTGTCCAAATTTGTGTCCTGTTTCAGTCTGGACTGCTCTGGGCTGAAAATTAGGTTTTGACTCTGCAAAATGACATTGGGATCAAATCCAGAGCAACAAGTTGCATGGATGGAGAGTTCTGGAGTCTGCTTTCTCTCACATGAAAATCATTAAGTCCAACAACAGATCCACAAAGACTGGTGATCATCTGGAGACCTGCTTACACCTCAACCACCTCATACTGTCTGCCTATGAGACCCTGGCCTCAGTGTCAGAAGTCCCACGAAGGTAGACATACATTTCTTACATTATTTATTTATACATTATTTTTGTATGTATAGCTTGCATGAAAAGTTGTCTCCTCTAAACTTGTTACAATGTGTCTGTATGTTGTTTTTTTATTGCATTTTAGAACAGACTAGTGTCTTATACACTGACTGGCACCTTTGTGTTATTTATTTATTTATTTTGCAGTTTGGGTGTGCCCTTGTTTTCCGTACCTAGTGTGGTTGTGTGTGTGTGTGTCTTGTTTATAGGTGGTGAACCAGGTGGAACTCTTTGAACGGTCTGGAGCCGGCAGTCTGGGCCAGTGAGYGACTAAACTCTTCAACACCTACCGATGACATCATCCTGCATGCTACAGATTGAGGTTTGAAATAGTTGTTGGAGATATGTGAATCTGCACCCTCGCAAGTCACTTTTTGTAATAGTATAAACGAGAGAGTTTTATATTGTGTGCTTTGACTTTAGTTTTTTTGTTTTGTTTTTCCTCCCCTGTATGGAGAGAAAGAGAGGAGAGTTCTTTGAATAAATGGAGACGAGTTCCGTGCTCCAAAATTAACTGACTCTGTGGTTCTCGCACTGGACAGTTTTCCAGCCCCCATAGCTCGCACGTTACAGTGAGTACTAATTGAAGGAGGCAAAAAAATTCATCCTTTTTGTTCGATCATCATTTTTCTGTTTCTCTGTCAGGAGTTAAGTAAGGATTTTATCTTTTCTTCTTTTTTTGTAGTTAAATATATGGTTAAGTAGATAGTTTTGTTTGACAATACTTTTAAATTAAATAAAACTAGCAACACATTACTTTCTGTTTTATTTACTTTAAAGAAGTGAGGAGTAGGGAGACAAAAAATTATGTTTTTTGATACTGAGACTGGACGAGTAGATCTTGGCAAACTGCCGACTTCAAAAGTAGCTCTTGGTTCAAAAAAGGTTTGGCACCCCTATCTATGATATTTGTTGGAAGTATGCTCTTCGGTATAGAAAAAAAAAACAGTGAGGGGGCCTGGGGGGTGCGCCCTGMGGGTCCGGACCTCTGTGCCCTTTCCTGGATCTGCTCTGGTGTGGTGGGTGCCGGTGGGGCCCAAGTTTGTCGCTGCTGGCCCCAGGAGCTGTGCGTGTGGTCGCTGGGGGGACTCTACCAGTTCTCCCCTATGGTCTGATCTGGGGGGTGGGTGGGCGGATCTTCCCGTGCGGGTGCCCCTTGGGGCTCTGCGCTCGGGATCCCTCTTGGGCCCTTGGGCTCTGGTCTTCCCTATGTCTGCCTCGTGTCTTGGGGGTTGGGTCTCCGGTCCTRCACAGTCACTATTAAATKTTCCATTGGAGAAATCTTGTATATACACGCATGTTCACAACTGCTCACAAACAGGTGCTCTGATCCGGGGGGTTCTGACTGGTCACTGAGTGTGTATATATGTCTGTGTGTATATACTGACAATATTTATGAATGTAGGCATGTACAGTATGTATGTATATCTTTATATACAGTATGTATGGGTATGTGTATATATTTATATATGCCATCCATGTATTTATCCATTCATTTTTCAGGTGAGCGGACAGATGTTGGGTGTGTGGTCCTGTGTTTTCTTTGTGTATATGTAATATACTTCTAATAGCTATTTCAATCTTTCTAATTACTTCTCTCTCTGTTTTTCTCTCTCTCTCTATTTTCTCTTCACTTTAAAAAAGAAAGTCACTGATGATGAAGAAATAAATAAACTAAATAACCTAATAATATTTGGTTTCGTTTTCTACTGAAGTGACAAAAAACTGAGTTTTGGCGATATGAAGGTAAATCCTCGCCTTATTTGAAGCTCTAAAGGTCTGTTTTAAATGTTTAATGTTTAAAACAACTTATGCCAACTTATGAACATTTTGTTATYACTGTTTTACTCATTGAATATATATTTGATCTATTTATTAGCATTACAGTTTGTAGAGGTCCAAATGAGGCTTCTAGTAAGTTTTTTGTAAAGCCCATAATCATAGTGCTGGACAAACTTTTTATAAGTTGTCAAAAACGTTATAGTCAGAGTTCCACATAAGCGGTGCCCAGGTGCGCATGCGCAGTCAAAAAAGAAAAAGCACACCAGATGGAATGTCATAAAGCTCCCTTGCATACCTAAGCTTGTACCTGATTGTCTGTTAAAACAACAGCTAGCAGGGCTCTGGAAGTGCGTCGAGTTTGGTCACAAACGCGACCTGATTTCTTAAAAAAATAAAAATAAAAATGAATCCAGCCGCACTGGTGTGAATGGATTGTTGTTCTGTGCGCCACAGTGGGACCCTGATATAAGGATTAAATGGACACTGCCTTCAACAAATCAGACGAAGTCCAGAGCTGTTTTGTCCAATCAGAGCAGAGCAAGGTGGGACTATCAGTGAGAGCACGTTTCGTTGAAGCAGTGGGCTGGCTCGACCCGAGCTACTGCAGCGATCACTCCTGACATCTCCTCCTCCGCTCCTCCTGCACTTTGTTCGTGAACTGCAGAGATTTTGGTCTGTAAAACATAACTTTATATTAAATATGTGTTCAGAATGTTGTTATCAAACAGATCTGTCCAACTCTGTGTGAGTGACTAAATTCTCTCCTCCTGAGTGACTGGAGCGCGTCGCTGCGCTCACAGGCTCTGTGAGAT